TTCACAATAATAAGTGTAAACACTATGTGATGCGTTATTGTTTAAGAGTAATTGGTTTTGAGCGTGTCCTTAAGGACGGCATCACAACATAAATGCAAAAAAATTATAATCTTAAGCAATAAAATTTACTTCAGCTAATAAATGTTTAAATCTTGTGCGATTAAAGCGATTGCTGGGGTTTAAAATCCTAGTATATCATAAAAATGATTAATAGTGCGTTCAAGCTGACATTTGTATTATAATAAAGCTCATTTATTGTAATAAAATGTATTTATTATAATAGAAGTTTGGTAAATGCAATGCAATTGTTGTTGCAGTGATAGATTAAATACAATTAAAACGCAGATTTGTATTTGAACCTCGCATTAATTGAATTATTGTAGATCATTCTGCAATCCTAATTGACATGTGTCAGAAATGAGCAAATAATATATAGAATGAAGTTAAATGGAATAAAAACAAAATTATATGTTTTATTTATCATAATATATAGAAATAACAAGTGTGAACGCCTATTTCGAAAAAATCATATTATTTTTTTTTATAAATAGATGTCAGGTTGATTTAGATGTAAAGTAAACTGGTTGGGTTGGACATAAAACGCTCGCTATATAGATTGCTAGTTGCCACCACAGAATGTTTAAGCCATTGCGGACCACCGTGTGGTGCACTATACGGTTAGCTTTGAATATTTTTTTAATATTCAAACAATATTTTATCTTTTTTTAGGAATATATAAAGTGAGAGTAATATTTCAAATAAATATTAAGCTCTTCTCATTTACTTAAACTTCCATCATTTTACTATTTACTATGGAAATTTCACCGTAAAATTGTAAGCCTGAAATTGCCTCGAACTTTATGGGTTAACCAGCACTTGAAGTGCTGAAGCAACAAGATCTTTGATCTCTACGACTTGGTGACGAGTTGTTCTCAATCATCACATTGGGATTGTTCTGAAAATGAACATTCAATGAATCCAGTATGGTTAGTCATGTCGTGGGGGACGAAAAAACTGGTGTAAATCGGATGTCTGTGGAAGAACACGTAGAGCAAGCCAGTGTCTCTGGTGGAGTGTTCAAGTTAAGGGAGCACTGAATAAGGTGCTGACGTAGCAACTTGAGAGAAGGACTGCATTAGTCCGAAAGCAAGAAAATGGTTTATTAAAGTAAGTAAGCAATGCTAACTTGAGTGCGATATAAATTTAAATTGTGTTTATATCGTTTTTAAAGCAATGTGCTTAGCAGCAGGAGAATTAACATATTATGATAGTAAAAGTTGTTAGTCTTTAATTTCTTCGAGTTATTATTATTATTTTTTCTTGTAGTTACTAACTGTTACGAAGCCATATACAAAAAATAAAAATAAAAAAGGAAACCAAATTGAATAATATTTTTGAAAATATAAATATGCACTAATTGGAATACGAATATTCTAATAAATAATTAATTTGTTTGCATTTATGCCATGGCCGTTTTGAGAGAAATAAGTAGTGTTAAGTTCAAATAGAATGAAAATAGGTGTTAAGTGTGCTGTTGCTTTCGTTTTCAGTGGCTATTTAGCATGGAGATGTTAGCTCTTTGTAAACAACATTTTTGATATTTGTTCGCGCGGAAGCGTTATTGCCTGCAGCAGTGTCACTCGTTAGAGTGGGCGACACCAAACGTATGGGCTTAGTGGAATAAGTACGCCCAAGTAAAGGCACATGCTCCTCTAAAGTATTGTAGAACAACATGAAGAACAATAAAAAAGAAAGAAAAAGGAAAATAAATAATTAAAATAATACAATTGCATAAAAATGTGTAAAAAGTCAATAAAAAACGAATTAGTATTAATGTGACAGATTTGCTAAATTAAATTTAAAATATTAAAAATGTTTAACTTTGTTTTGTTTTGTTCTGTTTTCTTTTTAGTAGTATTTTTCATCAACAAGTTAAGTCGTTCTTAAAAAATTAATAGCACATACACGAAAATAGCATAAATTTACATGCTTTTAATGGAAAGCAAGTATATTAAAAACATTCATACAAGTTTTATTAACAAATTTAAAGCTTGCGCACATCAGCATTTACACAAATTAACAGTAACGACAAAAATTACTTTTTTAATGAATACGTGATGTAACAATGCATTTAAATGATAACGAATACGAAACGAGAAGTGATTGCGGGGATCACGACATACCTTGTAATTGCCTATTAATTAAAGCTGTTAAACCATGACCCTCCACACTTTTCTTCATTATAAGCATAGGTTTATCTTCGCCATCGTCATAGCCACCTGAAGGCAGGAATCCGTTGCTTGCAATTGACTCGCTAACCTGAAGCAAAGAAAAAGAAAAAAAATAATAAATACTTATTATAATTGGTATTACTGTTATACTAATATACATATAATATAGGGGTTTGATTTTTTAACGACACTTGAACAACTGCAGCTAATAGCATTTGGTATTACTGTTATACTAATATACATATAATATAGATTTAAAAACTTAACGATACTTGAACAACTACAATTAAACCCAAGGTTTTTTACGGCACTACTAGCGAATGACATTTAATATATTTTAACAATCGATTCTTATATTATCTACGTATTATTTATTAATCTAAGAATATAAAAACTACTGTAGTATAACTTTTGAGCTCAGTGTTATTTTTTTCTTAATATTATAAAGTTCAGTCTATCATCTTTTAGAAAAAAAAAATATGTACTACCTGAAGCACCAGGAATTATGTTGTCAAATTTCATGATCAAGGCTCATCCACCTATTAAACATATACTAATTACGAACAAAGTCAGCTTATTTCGAACATGTGTTCAAGCTACAGATCTATACATTATAATCTCACCTAACTGTTTAATTGTCTCGTTATGCATACAAATCTGCATGTCTATTTAAGGTAATAATATTCATCAAGTTTTTATTGAATTTAAGTTAATCTTCCCATCCTTTTCTCATACACTACCTTTAATTTTCATTACTTTATTTACCTAAAATCGAAACAACAGTTGTAAAATTATAATATATATAATAAATCGATATGAATTACTCAATTATGATGGTTGGTTTTTGTAACAACACGCTCTGATATGAAATTCTAATATTCATAACCAATCCCAACCACGTACATTGGAGTTTTGTTTTGGAAGAGTCTTCTAATTACTTTGTGACTATTTTTTCCACAATTTTATTTCACTGACCTGAATTACAAACTGAATTTTGTAATACTTAGCTTTAATTTTATACTGTCGTTATATACCACGAAAAATCTGCTCTACTGTCGGAAAAGATTATAATCTATTAATTTTGAAAATACTTTTCTAAAATTAATCGATATGCTAGATTCTAGACACCAGACTAGCTCGTAGAGTAACAATATTTCTTATGTTCGATTTATGATAACAAATAATATATAGAATATTATTAAATTAAATGTTAAATATTCTGAGAAAAATATAATTTGATGTCGAATTTTGTTCAAATACAATATCAGCAGTTTTTTGTCTTTAAAAAAAAATAATTCGATTTCTCTTCACACCAATCAATACCATCAACATCAAGTGAATACCATACTTTTTTTAAAAAATTATTTTTGTACATAATCATTTTCTCTTTTTATATAACAAAAAAAGTTTTATTAACTAATTTTTACCTACCTGTGTCACTTGCATCAATTTCTTAACTACATCTCGTCCTAGTATATGATCGAATACTGATTGCAGAAATGGTTCTGCCATAATGGATAATTTTAACTTGTCACGATGCCAAATTAACACACGCGATTCTTCCATAGCCATTATGGATACCTTCATTGTATATCAATTAACACATTTAAAATAATTATGTAGAACTTAATAAAATGTTACACACCTGAAAATAATCGTCGGTAGAAACACCAAACCATTCCGGTGAATCTAGGAACTGATGAGGAAACACTATATGTAATGCTCGTTGATTTTGTGAAACAACTAATCTGTAATTATACAAATATTAATATAAAAAAATATTTATCTTTATAGTGTTAAAAAATAGATTTACTTGATTTATTACTTACTTGCCAGATAGCACTAATGATAGACTGTCCACTTTAGTGACTTTTTCTTGAGCATAAACTTCCTGATATTTAAGGGAACGTATCAGTTTCATACAATTTAAAATCTTCTTAAATTGATGCCTTGTGACACGTAACGGTTTAAAGAGTGAGGCGTAAACCTAAAATAACATAAAGAAATTGTAACCCAATTTTATTAATTATTATCAAATTATTTTCAATATTTTTTCCTAATAAATAACATTAATATTTAAGATTTAAAATTTAGCATAGACTAAATTTTTTGTGATTCATCACAGTTTAAAGACTTTGGCCCATGAATCATACTTCACGAAAAAATTACTAATTTTATATATATGACGATTATTATTACGATCAATTATTTTTTTTTGATTGGAAAAACCATTAGAAATAACGTTAGCCGAACATTTTTTGTTTTGAATCATTGTAATTGTAAAAATATTCTTAGCTGTGGGTTTTTGATACAAATTTATCGCAAGGCAGACATATCCTTTCGGTCTTAAAAAGTTATGAAAGTTCATATACTAATATTATTATTCATTATTATTTAAGTACCTTCGACGGCAATAAACGGGTTAGACAAAGTAAAAAGAGATTATTTTGGTATTATTATTAATATTTAATTTATAGATAAATATTTCATTAGTTTTTTTAAAAAGTTAGCAAGTCAAAGATTAAATACAATTATTTATAGATTGAATGTGAAAATAATTAAAAAATCGAATTATTTATTTTCACAATTCAGTATATATGAATTATATATCAATTGATGTAAATATTGGAAGCTCAAGTGGTAACACGATGTTCCTATGGATCTATTGTTAGCCTAATGTATTAAATATTTAAATAACATTAAGATTGATGAGTATTCGAACTAAGAGATATTTTTGTAAAGTAAAGTCTAGCATGTACCTATATTAAATCTCAACTACGTATGAACAGCATGTTCTAAACAGCTGAGGGAAAAATTATCGAATATAACATTCAATCTTCTATATCTAACGATATACCTAGATTATTCCGATGTTTCGAAACTGTTCCTGTGACATTTTAACTGGTAAGCTCATTTGCATTACAAATAATTGACTGCTATAAAATACAGAACTGCGTCGATATATTGTTCCATTATAGGTCCGTTAGGGTCAAAAATCGTCCTACAGTCTTATTGAAATCTATATATTAATTATTTCAAAACAAGCTATACATGGAAAGATATTGAAAGCAAGGAGAAAGGTTCAAGGCACAAATTTTTATTATTTTGAAACCAAAGAGAATAATTTTCAATTATATCAGCCTAAAATCTTCTTTAACTGATTACGGAAGTAAGTACATATGGTAAACATTACATTACCTATAGGTATGTTCCATGTATACGGACCAGGGCACATAAGCACTTCTTGGTTACGAAAATAAATTTATAACTTTCTTCCAAACAATAACTTTCAATAAAATCCAACTAAACTGCAATAATTTTTATAAAATGTTTATCTATACCTTCATCTATAAAGTATATGTAAAAAATAAAGAAAAATTTAATTATCTGTTATAGATGATTGTTATTCTACCTACTACACCTGTACTAAAATCGGTCTTTTGATCTTTCATATTGAATGCATAGTTTTAATTTGGTATACTTGAGATTTGCATATAAGTCAGATCTTTTAATTTCATTTTAAAAATTTCAACATCGAACGATCTTAGTATTAGAATATAAACAATAAATTCCAACAAAAACAATTAAGTTAAATTATTTAATTTTATCTACAACTACTTAAGTGACAGTTCTTTCATTCTTTTTATTTTTAATAATAAAATTGGAAGCTATACGCAAATTAAAAATAAATAACAACAAAATGTTTTAGGAATAATATTTTTTAATAATTATTAACAAATCATATGCGATTTGGCATTATTTTGAATAAACACTAATACGATTGTTGAATAATTTTAGCGGTAAACTGGCAAATGTTAACAAAATTCTAAAAGATAAAAAATTAATTATTATTCATAAAATTTTCGAGACATTTTAAAATGTTTTTATTGTTAATTTTATGGGTAGAAAAATTGAACAAAAAAAAATAAAAACGAAAGCTCAACACAGTTGGAAAATTATTTATTTACAATAAAATATCGTCTCTTCATAAATGAACGACTTTTAAAGATATTAAAAATTTATGAGCCGAATGTTCTTTGTCAGGTTATCATTGATTTTATTACGATCCATATTAAACGCAAGATATGATTGGCAATAACATAGTAACTGTAGGACTCACATGCAAGCAACCTGAGGACAAACTATTGATAATTCAACTATTGTATTAGATTTACACTGATTGTTCCAGAAAAGAAATATGAACTTTCAGCAAACTCTCAACCTAATTTTAAATATTTGTTTTCTAATACCGATAGAACAGTAAAGCGACATGTTCATCTACTAAAGTCTTCTAGCCTAGGTAACCCCCTAAGTGGTGTTAAAATTTAAATTTTAACAGCTATCAGCACCGGACCCTGTCATATGTTGAGACACATGAGGAATGGGTATAATATTGAATGCTGTAAATGTTGAGAAGTCTATCTTAAATAGATATATTATAAAATTACAAGTTAGAAAGAAGCTGCAAGATCTATTTGTCGTGCATGCACATTTGCACGTATTTGAATAAAAATGACTCAAAAGTTTCATAAAATCTATATCTGAAATTATATTGAACACATGTTCAAAGTAATCGATACTGATAAAGTACTTTACTTCCAAGTGTTTTTTATAGAGTTAAATCACATAATCAAACCAATAACTTAGTCATTATAAATGGAAATATTGTATTTAAATTTTTATGTACGTGCAGAAAAAGAGCAATAAAATAATGATGATGGTCTTAATAATACACTGCACTCTTCTTTGTTAAAAGTATTGTATCCCAAATCAAAAATATTATACAAATCATTTGCAGAGTTTGACACAATGACATTAGAACCTGGAAACTATAAACAAGAACGGGATCAATACTGCTTGACAAATTCAATTTCTTTCAGACCATTGCTATATACGAGTCCTCGCAGAGCAACTAACATATGCATTCGTTTTATTGTAGTTTAGTTATTGTAGAAGATGCGAAACCTTTTATAAAAAATTAAGAATTATGCATTTTTTGTGTGATTGTCTAGTTTAGGCTAATGGGACGAACAAATTTTAAGTACTTTATTGGAGACTTGACGACTTGTTAGGAATAATTACAATTGCAAATTTATGTTCTTCATACATCTTAATGTTTTCTCAGTATCTGCAAAAATGCATATACATAGTATTATGCTTATATTACTTTATTATTATTATGTGTCTGGTTCGTATCACCATTCTTGATTAGAGCATATGAAGATTCATATGATGTTCTGCGTAATCATGTAACATAGTGTGAAGGCAGCCTTTATATATTAAAATGACCTCGTATTTATAGTATATTAAAATTTGAATATTAATAATATAGTTAATAATATCAAGTTAATTAAGTACTCTAACTAATACTGACCTGCAGCTTAAGTTTCCGCCAGACATTCTGAAATTCATTTAAAGGCTGAATAACTTCTTTTCGGTTTAGATCAGTTGTTGGCACAAAAGATGTACTATCTATTCTATTCTATTCTATTCTATTCTATTCTATTCTATTCTATTCTATTCTATTCTATTCTATTCTATTCAATTCTATTCAATTCTATTCAATTCTATTCTATTCTATTCTATTCTATTCTATTCTATTCTATTCTATTCTATTCTATTCTATTCTATTCTATTCTATTCTTCTATTCTATTCTATTCTATTCTATTCTATTCTATTCTATTCTATTGTATTCTATTCCATTTTATTATATTCTATTCTTTCTATTCTATTCTATTCTATTCTATTGTATTCTATTCCATTTTATTCTATTCTATTCTATTCTTTCTATTCTATTCTATTCTATTCTATTCTATTCTATTCTATTCTATTGTATTGTATTCTATTCCATTTTATTCTATTCTATTCTTTCTATTCTATTCTATTCTATTGTATTCTATTCCATTTTATTTTATTCTATTCTTTCTATTCTATTCTATTCTATTCTATTCTATTCTATTCTATTCTATTCTATTCTATTCTATTCTATTCTATTCTATTGTATTCTATTCCATTTTATTCTATTCTATTCTATTCTATTGTATTCTATTCCATTTTATTCTTTCTATTCT